TCTCTCATGAATAAATAAATAAAATCTTTAAAAAAAAAAAAAAAAAGGCCATCTGTCATTCAGACAATCTATCCTCTCACCCACCAAGCTGTCTGTTTAAATCTGGCTCTACTTCTTATCAAGTCTGTCCTGCTACTGCTCATATCTGTCCCACCACCTCCATTGCCACTGTTGTCACCCTGTTTAAGGCTGCCATTACCCTGTCCGGGATTTACTGAAACAACTCCCTAATCTCCCACCTCATACCCTTCCAACCGACACTCCCTAGAATTGAAAAAGTAAGCCCTCTAAACTTGCAAATTAGATCACCTAAGCCTCCTGCCTAAAGCCTATCGGTGGCTCCCCATTACCTACAGGATCGAATACAAACTCCTTCCCGTGTGACCCACAGCCTTCCTTGTCCTCATGAAGTACTGTACTTAAAGCCCACCAAGAAAAACAACCCCAAGCCTTTGCTCATGTTCTGCACTGAATGTTCTTTTATCTACCTGGAGAGCCACCGCCTGGTCTCAACATCCACCTCAGTATGTGCACCTCCATACAGTGTTCCTGACTCTCTGCACATGCTATCACATTTAGAACTGTAACCTCGCTGAGGTCAGGAACTTTCGGGACTCCATCTGCTCATCCACAGCATGGGGCGCATCATAGGAGCACGATGAAGATTTTCGAGGAGTGAGTGAATGTGCAGAAATAATGAAAGTCCACCCTTCCACAAACCTTTTCAGATAAATTACAGAGCAGTAGCTACTTTTCACGCTGCCAGGCTAGTTCTGGAGTGACCAGTCTACTGATACTCATTTCTACAGAGTCCTCTACTGGGTATTTTTAACCCCGTTGTCAGAAAAGGGGATGAGAGGTAAAGGCTGATGCCCAACATTGTAGAGAGAAAATATTTCCATAAACCCTAAGACAGGCTAAAAGAAATTTATTTTTTATTTACTTATCTTTTTAAAAAAGGAGAGAGCGCAAACTCAGTCCCCCACTACCACAAATTATGCAGTCGAGTTTCCTACATTTGGGGAAATCACAGGGGTCAGCACATCTGGGGTGCAATGGATAAGCATCACCCTGGGAAAACCGCCTTCATGATCATGGTATCCCCCGTGCCAGATAAGTATGGAAATTTTAAATATATAACCTTAACCTCAGGTATAAAAGGATTTTCTACAAACTGTGCTACCTTCTCAATTTAGCAGATTTGTACAATGACAGGAGAACAGAACTGGGCAGCTTCAAAAAGAGGCAGGAAGTTGTGTAGACATCCTATATTACTGGAGTCCTGTCCACAAAGGTTTTCAAAATCAGCTGAATAAAGCAAAAATCATGGTCTCAGGGAAACAGTTAAATGAGGGAATACCATATAAAAATATAACCGTTTTAGCTAACCCTTCCATCTTTCTCTACCTCTCATCCAGTAGTAAAACTTTTCCCTTAAATATACAACTACACAAATTTAAAGAAAAAGCTAACTTACCAAATTTACACTATTTGAAGTTAAAAAAAAAATCAATAAACCCATTCTAGCATATCTTGTCAGTGTCTTTGAGACCCTTGGCTTGAACTGAAGTTGAAAATAAAATTACACATAAATTTTTAAAAATGGGTATTGCCAAAGAGTCAAAGACTTGGTGACTTCCAGACCTACTTTATGATTACATCTGTTTTTATTTTTGATATTCAAGAAATACACTGTTCAAACTACCACTTACAAAACTGTTATCCTTGTCATAATGTCATACAGCACAGCTCCATTCTCTGGAATCTGTCCCACAACCCGTGAGGACTGAGCCTACAACACTCAGATCTTAAAGATGCCAAAGTGTCAAGCAAGGGATTACATCTGCCCCACACTCCACTGGCATCTTTAGACTCTGAGGACTCTGAGAGCAAGGGTCACCCTCCTACAGGGAAAGACAATCGCCACGGCAGAATCTCTCAAGTGAACTGCAAAGTGTAGTTTCTGACCTCCTCAATGTAACATTTACAGCTCTCTAGACAGAGGGAAGTTATCAGGTGAAAATAGTTTTCTACTACATCCATAAATTCTTCAACTCCTAGCAAAATTAATAAAGAAAAGTCAGGAGAAGGATAAAGCGCTCTCACCGAATAACAAGTAAATGACACGGGGAACTCCAATCACAAGGAGAGAAATGAAGTATCAGTTGAGCATATAGGATGATGTCAAGCCTGACAAACTATTCAGGCCCCCACACTCAACCACTTACTGTCTCTGATTTACAGTATTACTTCTCTCATCTTTGACTTAAGCTGTTCCTTCCCCCGACAAACTCTTTTTCCTGGAGCCTTTTACTGTGTAATCATGCAACGTGTAGGCTCCACAAAACACAATAAGCTTTACAAATTTTGGCTTTTAAGAATCAATATTATTTTCTCTGAATACTTCCAAAATAGATGTCCCCCCTCCAACCCAGAAGATTTTAGTAAAACATAAGGACTGTTTTTAAAAAGGGGGTAGGATGGGTGTTAGGTATTTAGAATCCTTACTTTGGGTCCCACTTGCTTATACATCACTTTCCAGGCCTCAAAAATTTTTGTCCTATGTGAAAATAAGAAAAACCAAAGAAGCCCACTGAAAACATCAAAAACAGCAGTAAGAGCTTAAGACCGAGATAAGAGACAAGATACAAATCCAAGGGGTTGGGAATAGGGGGTCTAAATACTGCTCCGGGTGTATTTCAGGTGTATTTCTAAAACGCTGCAGTCTATAAGACAAATATCACGATAAAAATGAAAACTGAAAGCTGAAAATACATTTTAAAAAAAGAGACCTAGGCAAAGGCAGTGTGTACTTGGGAGTATACAATTCCATCTAATTCTCAAGAGTCCTGCAGGGTTAAGCCAACTTCCTTATTCCAGCAAAGTGAGGCCTCAAGGCGAGAAAGGTTTTATTCTTCACAGTTCTGGAAAAAGGCAGAGAGAAATGTTTTGATGGGATTTAGGGGCAACCAAAGACAATCTGTTAAAGTACTTCAAAGTTCTGCCTGCTAACAGGCTCCGACTCCCCATACATTCATCGAATCTGCCCCCAGGATTTCAGAAACAGTAACAGCTGACTGGCAGGAAATGCATTTCCAAGGTTCTCCTTCCTCCTAAAGGTCTCATCTAGGTCAGCATTGTCACAGTGTGAACAGATCTGTGATACTTGACTCACCAGAGGAAAAGTCTCACCAGCCCTGAGATGCCCCCATGGTGAGGTGTCCTGAGACAACTGATCTGCCTCCAGATACTGACACTAGAAAAAGATTGTTTGGTTTTTATTTTCCTCAACACAAACAGGACTGGGGAGGGAGATGACGAGGCAAAGAAATGCACATACCTTTCAACTGATCAGCAACAACGCTCTGGCCAAGGCGTTCAGTAACTTTCCCATCTTCCATTTCGTACCGATCATCTAGGTATTTTGCTGTGGCCTCGGAAATGTGAACTTTGCCCGCCACTCCCAGCTGCTCCATGAGATTGGCCAAGTTCACATCATTGGACCACACATCGAATTTGAACCTACTCATGCCCAAGATGCCACAGAGGACGGTCCCCGTGTGAACCCCGACACGCATGTTCACCATCTCTTTCTTCTCCTGGCAGAACTGCTCAATAGCTCTGATCATGCCCAAGCCCATCTCAATGCAGCAGTAGGCATGGTCAGCCCGGGGCTCTGGACACCCCGCCACACAATAGTAGCAGTCTCCCAGGGTACTGATTTTCTCACATTTGGTCTCTTCACACAACTGGTCGAAGCGACCAAACAGATCATTGAGGAGACCCACCAACGCGTGAGCAGACTTATTGGCACTCATCTTGGTGAAGCCCACGATATCTGCAAATAAAATACTGACTTCTTCGATCTGCTGCATTTTGAAAGGGCGGAAGGCTATAGGGGCTTTCTGTATGGAAGACTTTTTCTTCCTGTTCTTGGGACTCGAGGTGGCGTGTCTTTTGACTGAATTCTCGCTCTCCTCATCCCCCTGTTTCATCAGGTCATCAGCTATGATTCTTGGCATCACAGAATGAATCATCCTCTCTTTCAGGGCTTTTTCCACTTCCAGATCCTTTCCATGCATAATTGACTGTCCCACCTTGAGAAAGGTGCTCCTAGATCTCACCTGGGACATGATAAATAGGTGGATCCCAATGGCGTGGATGCAGACGTGGAGCAGGGCTCGGCTCAGCAGCTCCCAGTGTGGCACCCCTGCTCCAGGTGGGGGAAAGCAGTCTTTGTCTCGGAAATGATAGCCAAACGTCTCAAAGAGAACAGAATAGACCACTCCCAGAAACAAGCTCAAGTACAAAGGTAAGTGCATGACGGTGTAGAGCAAAAAGAGCACTTCGATGCACATGGAAAAGCTCCCCACTTGCGATAAGCAAGTGTCTGTGGGCTTGGCTGCGAGGGTATGATTGGAGCTGTCAACACGTCCTGAGAGAGGCGTCAAAACCTGAAACTGGGCGGCCAGGGTCAGGGCGAACACCAGGAGAGTGAGAACCAGAGAGGTCCACACGTAATGCCGGGCATACAGCTTGGTGAAGGTAAACAGAAAAAAGCCCACACACACTACTAGGATGCACAGAGCTGGGGCTACCATGACAATCAGTCTGGACCGCACGTGGACCCCAAAATAGATGCTCCACAGAAGGCAGGCGAAGCCGATGTAGAAGAGCGCATACCGGAAGCGGCGCTGGGTCTGCGGGAAGCAGCGCTCCATGCAAGCCTCCTCCAGGTTCACCGAGTCGAACTTGGGGTCCCACCACCGGCTAGAGGCCCTCTCAAACAGCTGGGGCAGCTTCTTCTGCCTGCGCAGGCGGCCTCCAGCGCCCACTCTCCGGGGGACGCCCCCTGAGTCCCCAGAGCTGCTACAGCTGGAGGAGATGCTGTACTTGCAGTGCTTGGGGTGGCTGTTGGAGGACAGCTGCTTGGGGTTGATTTTGACCCTCACGCTGTTGCTGTCTCCGCTGGAGTCACAACTCACCTCGGTGCTGTGGTGCTGCAGCAGATGCTGGTGGGGCGGGGAAGCCATGTTGCCAAGCGCTCAGAACCTTCCCGGCCGGGGTCACTGGTACCTACCGGCGAAGACAACCAGAGTTACACTGGCACTGATTCCTACACAGGTACACACACCTGAAGGCCACGAGCTCCACTGGTTTGCTCGGCGGTGGCCCCGGCGGTCTACTTGGAGAGGCACCACATGCTCCCGAAAGCTGCGGCTAACGTCTAACCGGGGCTTCCACCGTCCCGCCCCGAGGCCGCCCGCAGCAACCGGGACGGACCCGGCAGCCCCGGGCCGGCGAGGCGGCGGCGTCCCTCGCCCCCCC